ACCATCGCAATATATAACTATGTGTATCAGATATCACACCGTATTACCGGCGGCAGTGATGGCAGATCACTGCAGTGATGGCAGATATCTGAAAATTACCGATCGGTACAGGTAGGTTATAAATTTGGTTGGTTTAATTATATTACACAAATACGGCCCATATCATTGCTATAAAATTATTGTCCATTGAATGGAGATACTGTAAGGTAATTTTGGACTCGTTTTTTTCCTGTTTTAAGACTATTTTGAGCAGGTTAAAAGTGACAGCCTTGGGAAAAATCCGTGAAAATGTCTGTTTTCTGTTCAAACTATCTCAAGTTTTAAGTAAATGGCAGGATTTCCTGTTATCAATATAGACGTTCATCCATTGGGGTCACGCAAGCCAAATATCTACCCCGTGAGTCTTTTCTTGAAAGTTTTACAGACGCTCAATCTGGTCCGGTTGAAGAAAAAATGCTGCCGTTGTAGGCAGATACATATTATAAATGCTGCCGTCGATGGCAGAAATACCACGAAAGTGGCTAACATTTCTGACAAGAAAATCAAGTTCAATCTTTTATCAATTCCTCTTTTCTTTGCGTCCTTTTAGTCGGAATTGAGACGTTAAACTATCATTTCTAATATTTTCTTCAAGATAGAAAAGTTATTAATGCGGTGTGTGCATCGAAAAAAGCTTTTTAGCAACATGCAGTTACAATACAAAAAGTGGATGATTAGTACGACAAAATTCACTATAAATACAGAAATGAACATGAAAAACTTCATTTTTCTATATTCATGCATGTGTGCTTGATCTGTTCATATGAATTGAAAGGTCAAAAAAGAGAGAAAAAGAATATAACAAATCAAAAAAAAATCTAGTTTTTTCCCTATAAATACAGGAATTTATTTTCATTTCTTGTGATATGAATCATCGAAAGGTTCATCTTTATAAGTTGTCATGGTTACAACTAAAATGAATGAAAAAATATATAGTTAAATGGGAAGACGTGATGTCCACCTTACTGTTAATACTGTTGTTAATATTTTAGCATAGTAAATGTAATTCAAAGGCAAACTACAACGCGATTTCAAAAATCAAAATTTAAAGAAATAAATCCACGTTGTCGTGTTTTTCAAGAACTTGATAATATAGGAAAATATTTGAACTGTCCATAATAATGATTATTCTTTCCATTTTACATTAACATACATTGTTTTATGATACACTGATGCCAGTTTGCGAGGTTAATAGTCTCCCCTTTATTACATCAATTTAATAATTTATAATCTGCGCCGATTAAGTAAATTTCAGCCTTTATTTGTCATAAAGCGATGAACATTATTACCTCGAGAAAATAATGTCATATTGCTAGCAAATGAATATCCACTTACAGAAGTTACTTGCTGTAATATGCAATTTTTGGCGTTATGTCTTAAAAAGGAGTGCGCTGCTAAACTTAAGATACATATAGTATTGTATGCATGTAACTGACAGACACAACAGATCAAAGCACACATGCATGAATATAGAAAAATGAAGTTTTTCATGTTCATTTCTCTATTTATAGTGAAATTTTGTAGGTACTAAATCATAACTTTTTGTATTGTAACTGCATGTTGCTAATAAGCTTTTTTCGATGCACATACCGCATTAATGAAAAAAAATCAAAAAATCTACAAAACAGCAATTTTTCTTCAAAATTATATGTGAGGCCATGTTTTTTAACATGGAAAAACGCGTTTTGGGGTAATTTCGTTTTTTTTCCATCATTTTCTGTTAACCCATTACCAGATATATACGCCTTTCTACGCCTTTTTCACCCCCTCCTTTTTTTGCTTTCTCAAATGGTGAAAAAATGCCTTATTTAGGCCCCAAACACTTGTTTTTGTTTGATAAATGTTGTTTAAAAAATGACCACTTTTTCGGCGCGGCCCCCCACCCCCATCCAAAGATACATCAGGGGGTTGCCAGAAGGGGGATGTGCCCCCTTCTGTTTGGGGGGTTTGAAGGGGGGCTGAGTCCCCCTCATCGCCAAGAAAACTTTGGACTTGTGGGAGGCTAAAAATGGCCCCAGGTCGATCATAAGGTAACGTGTAACCAATGCTGAAAAAGCCTTTGACTCTATCTCAATCCATTGAGAAGTGGCAGCACTTTGAAAATCAATTTTGATGGAAAAAATCAACGTAAAAATAGTGATTTTTTTTGGCAATTTTGAGATGTCCCTAGTTGCTATGGTAACAGGAAATTTCAGACTGAACATGTTGTTACAAAGGCAATGGTCCAGTCAACATTTTGTGCCAAGTTTGATTAGTATTGAAGCAGTTTTTTATAGTTTTATAGCAACTTGAACTTGTAACGGGAGACCTTTCAATGAAAACAGCCATTTTTAACAAGATGCTCATGGAGTAATGGGTTTAATAACTTTTCTATCTGAGAAAATATTAGAAAATGATAGTTTTAACGTCGCAGTTCTGACTAAAAGGACGCAAAGAAAAGAGGAATTGATAAAAGATTGAACTTGATTTTCTGTCAGAATGTTAGCCACTTTCATGGTATTTCTGCCATCGACGGCAGCATTTATAATAATATTATTTATTATGTATCTGCCTACAACGGCAGCATTTTTTCTTCGACCGGACAAGATTGAGCGTCTGTAAAACTTTCAAGAAAAGACTCACGGGGTAGATATTTGGCTTGCGTGACCCCAATGGATGAACGTCTATATTGATAACAGGAAATCCTGCCATTAACTTAAAACTTGAGATATTTGAACAGAAAACAGACATTTTCACGGATTTTTCTAAGGCTTTCACTTTTAACCTGCTCAAAATAGTCTGAAAACAGGAAAAAACGAGTCCAAAATTACCTTACAGTATCTCCATTCAATGGACAATAGTTTTATAGCAATGAAATGGGCCGTATTTGTGTAATATAATTAAACCAACCAAATTTATAACCTACCTGTATCGATCGGTAATTTTCAGATATCTGCCATCACTGCAGTGATTTGCCATCACTGCCGCCGGTAATACGGTGTGGATATGTGTAATGATTTAGAATTACAGAATATGGATAATCTGACTTTGTCAAAACGAATCACAAGACCAATATAGTTCAAATATAAACATATTAGAAAACCAGAATGCCCATTTCGTTGATGAAAACTCCATTTTATAGAGGTCGGATACTTTTATTTTCAAGTTAGAAATGTGAATACAAGATGGAATTTGAAATTTGTAACGTGAAAAAGTTGAAATTTTATGTCACATGTTTCTCTAAAGTTAATGATTCATCACGTTGAAAAGCCATAATATGCAAACAGATGTCCATTTCATAAGCGAAGTGGATGTTTCGCAAAATTTATTCTATTTCGCACTTTATTACAATCTGTACTTCACCTCTATTTTCAGTAAGTAAAACTAACAGTTTCAGTGCCAAATAGTATGTTCCGGATCTTGGAAATTTCATATCAACGAATTATCAAATAGAAAGGTATGTTTATTCATATATTTTTGTTGGCATGCGGTTACCTGTTAACTATAAACAATGCACCTACAGTTTCATTTCTGTTTTATTAACATATATTTTTTTTCTTTAATACCCCAGTAACAAATTTGGGTTATGAAAATCAAAATATTTTTCTGTAAACAATATCAAGACTTACGGGACTTTTTAAATTTATGAAATTACCAAAAATTTTAACTTTTCAGGATTTTAGCTTCACTAAATCACGTCTTCATAATTTCGTCTTCATGAATACACCATTGGAAGTCTAACTTAACGAATTCATAAGTTGAAATTCATGAATTTTTATTTATACAATTCAAACTTCATACATACAATGAAATTTAAGCTAAATGAACTCTCGATATCAACTTTATTTATTCATAAGTTGAATATTTGAAGTAGGACTCCTGAAGTAGTTCAAAACATATATTCACAAAATTGGATTTGGTCCAGATCGTACATTTGTAACTTTTGATTTTTTAAGTTAAAAAATCTGTATTCATGGATTTTATATAGAGAGTCTACCGAATTCGGGAATTCAAGAAATAACTATTACGAATTCATGACGTTGAAGAATTAATTCATGAAGATGTATTGTAAATTCATGAAATTAAAATATCAATACAGGAATATGTTTCTATATCACAATGAATGAATGAATAAATAAATGAATGAATGAATGAATGAATAAACGAATGAATAAACGAATGAATAAACGAACGAACAAGACAGAAAAACAGAAAGAAGTAAAGCATCAACAAAAACTAAAAGAGATAAGTTCAATTGCTAACCCGAGATCCTATGATTTTCAGTTTGTTGCAGATAACCTAAAAACCTGTTGAATCAATATACCTTGTAATTATAATTGAATCTATAGTTATTTTATATTTAAAGATTTAATTATTAGCTGTGAATTATATTAATAACCTGTCAATGCTCCGCATAGATAATCTGATCAATTTCTAGATTTTTGTATTCGTTACAATTAATGACTATTAACATTGGTTCAGAAAAAAAATCGGCTACCAAAGATGTATCGATCAGTCTCGGATAAAAATGAAAAACATTTAATAATTAGTCAAGATGCAAGCCTATAACATTATGCCAGGTATCTTCCAGAACCACTATTTTTATTCAGTATTTATTAAACATGTGTAATGTTGTGTATTCTAGGAATTTAGACAATCGGCGGCGATGAATTTCATTGTCATTTCTTTTAAAAGCGTACGAGTATGCACCAAATTCATCGGACTCGAGTACAATAAAATACTTTAGAAAAGAAATAAATAAGTTATAAAAAAAACTATTTGTTAATTTACATTCAATTAAAAGGAAGAAAAATGACGTAATTTACTTTGAAAAGGGTCGCGAAAAATGGTTACGCAATACACGTATCAGTCAACTAAGAATAAAACAATAATCCGAACATCCGGATGTATGTGGGTGCCTGGATGGCGGTTTCGGCTGCAAATGACATCCTTATTGATAAATAATCACTTTACTTAATTTCAGAGTAACAGTCCAGTGACGAGTATTTTTAACATCTTATACAGACCATCACAATAATGGACAGCTATCGACAGATAAAGGATTACTTTACTAAATATAAATGGACACTGTTGATATTCACTTGGAGCACAGGTATTTATTTATTTATTTATTTATTCATTTTATTGTATTTATTTATTTATTTATTTGCTGATTTATTTATTGTTTGTTTGTCCGTTAATTCGTTTATTTAATTCGTTCATTTATTTATTGAACGTACGAGTTATTTTTGTTTTAAAATATCAAACGTTAAAATGTTTAAGATACTTTATTTCGAATAACCGCACTTGTGGTTGAGGGCGAGAGTGGTTGCCTATAAGGGCTGTGACATAAGAACTACAGCCACCGTTTATCCTTGGAGAGGCGACTAAAGGGTTCGAATTACTGGAGTTTCTGCATCTCTTAGCTCCAGCATGTGAGGTGGCTTTGAACCCTAGTATTGCTTTTTAAAGTTTTTAACACTCAGTGTTAGCCAATGTCATCTTTCTGGTTTCACCGCCAGATGTTTTTGTGCGTCGTTTATACAGACACAAGAAAACAAACTTCGAATAACTAAACCCTCATAGCTGTGCGTTCGAATCTTGACAGGGTCTTGTGAGAAAGCTATCCAACCAGCTTACGGAACGACGGTAATCCACTCAGGTGCTTGTTCGTGCCTGAAATAATTTACGTAGACATTCCTCTACCTGAAAAACTTTCAGGTGTCAATGTAATTCAACACCCGCATAAAAGGAAAACAACAACAACAATTAATTGAAATTTGATTCTTGATATTCTTGCCCTATATTTGAATGTAAGTCAATAGTTAATGGTTTTTTTTTTTTTTTTTTTTTTTTTTTTTTTTTTTTTTTTTGTGTGTGTTATTTAAAGTTTTGTTATACCCTTTCTTTTCTGTATAACACGGAACTAGTTCAACTTATGTCATGGGCATAAAGTACAATGTATTATTTATCTTTGTCCAGTTATTGCTTATTATATAATTATATTCATTGTATTCATATCAATAAAAAGAAAATCAATAATAGCTTATTACCTTGTAATTATCACAAGTCATTGTTGTTATGTCCCACAACTGGCAAGAGCATATTAATTATTTATAGCATAAGTCCGCTTTATGGACAGATATATTTCATATATATTACTCTGGTAAGACTTTGAAACCGCCGAGCTAGATTAAATATTTTACATCCATGTTGCAATTTTAAGCTACATGCCTCCAGATGAGCCAAAATATTTCAAGAAACTCAAAGTTGAGAAAAGTGTAATAAGATTATAAGTCAAAGATTAAAGTAATGATTTACATCATTTTATGGGCGATTGTTTACTGATTTAGCAGTATTCAATTATTCATCACCAAATATATACTACGTTACTAATGCAGTATGACTATTTTTTGCATATTTGAACCTCTTTTTGTTATCTACCTAGATCATAAGTGTCAATTCTTTTCTATGTTCTGTTTAAAATATAAACATATATGTAACATTTATTTTGTAACATTTTACATATATTTTTTTATATAAAATTTTTAATGAAAGTTTGCATGAATCTGAAGGCACGCTGCTTTAAGAATGCTTGGTCGACCATATACTATTGATAATAAGGCTAAGTACCACAACATGTTTAGAAATCTGACACACCAGCACAGTACTACAGTATGAGCCACATGACAAAATCTTTATGCTTTTAAGAAATTCATTGACATTATATTCTTTTTAAATTTCAGCTATTATATACTTACACATGCAGTACGCACGTGTGTCAAGTAAGTTTCCTTAAATCAAGAGACATTACTTTTTACTATTATAGATTGGATATGTATCACACAATAACGGTTTTAACAATGATATTTTAATTAATAAAAGAAAGAAAAAAGCGACATTTGGTTCATTTGTGTGACGTGTCGGTTCAGGATTGATTTATCAGTTTTGCACTGGCTCTAAACGATGGTAACATACATCAACATTTCTTTTATACATATAGTAGAGTCTAGTCTTTGCTTCAGTAAACTTACATTTTCTGAAAGATTAAAGTTTGTAAATTTTGAAAAAGATTTATAAAGTTCCCTTCCGGGAAACTCCAAAAATCAAAGATGGCGTTCAAAATGGCGTCTAAAATGAAATCTGTATTTTTAAATGCTCTATTTGTGGAATGTCTTCAAAGCGATCCATTTTTTCATGCTAAAATGTTTAAAATAAGTGAACACATCATTTTTCTTATTTATTTTTCTAAGTTGATGCCTAAAAGGTTCGTTAACATTATCGCAAATAACTAGTTATAATTGTTTAAACTCTTTCTTACGACATTATTTCACTTTGCATTACCAGATTCAGTTTCTAAAAACAGAATGGAAGACATTGTCCAAAAGAGGCCAGTATTCAAAAGTAAGTTCATTTTCTTCTTAGTCAACTTTGAATGCCTTGAGACAGACACGTGTTTCATCACATCATAAAATCGGTTTTCATAACGATTTCTTCCATTTAAGGTCAATGACGATTGTTTATATATATATTGCAAAGTCGTAACGGACATAATGAACAATTTTTAAGGGACTCCGGAGTCATTTGTTTACGTGATTGGCATATTTTATCGTTTTTATACCATTTTATGTATGTTCACTTAAATATTCATACCATTCGCTCACTGCGTTTTTCCAAAATATTCACAATGGCCCCAAAATGAAAAACGTTTAACGCTTTTAGCTCAAATCAGACTGAAAATATATAGTACTTTAATTCTCTCAGTATATTACTTTATAGACGTTTGTACAGTTTTTGAGGTTTAATTGCCACAGTTACTCTACAATACGTACAGAATTCAAATTTTTGGTCTTATCCGAGTTTTTTAAATGTTGAAACTTGGAATATTACCTTATTATGACAATTGTTTGTTTTGTTTGGTTTTACGGGTACAAACACAACCAATCTTATGATATAGCACAAGAACAGAAGGGGCCGAAACAGGAAAGATGATTTTGGATAACCATGAGTGTTATAAACTAAAAGCAACACCTAGGGTCAAAACCATTTCACCTGCTGGATATAAAAGATGCATATTTTTCAATAATTTGAACCCATTTAGTCGACTATTATCATTAGTCAGGTGGCTGCAATTCCCATGCCTCAACTTGTGAAACCCCTCATCAACAAAGAGATTATAGTGACAATGTGCAGTCAAAAATTCTGAACGCTATAATTTTCAGAGCTAAAGCCCTTTTTTATCACAATTGGAAATTTCGATGTTGTCCTTAACAAATTAGCGTTAACACCGCAAGTGGTGCTCTTGCTTGTTATATGTTAAGATCGGACGATGTCTCTTTAAAAAGTATGGAATAAGATTTCTTTCTTCTTTTTCAGTAAAATACTATGATGTATTATTGAATAGTTACATGAGGGGCGGAAGTACTTTAACTGGAATGGTTCTCGGGCACAGAGCTGATACATTTTACCTTTACGAACCCTTGTGGAAAATTTCAAGGTGGACATATTGGCATGGTAGCAACATGGTGTGCAGATCTGATCGTCTAGAGTGCAGGTATGTGAATGAGTTGGGTCCAAACGATTGTTAGAGCATATCATGAAATAATCTTTCACTAGTCCAGTGGTAATTGATTGTATAGGAAGTAGATTGCATTGATAATTAATCTTTAGGAAATTGAAACTCTACCGAACGTGATGGTGTTTCTAAATATTTACTATTTAGGGAGGGTTTAATGCACAAGATGTACTGATATTAAAATACCCCATCATGAAAAAATCTTGGCAAATATTGTAGTACTGGGTAAAAGCACCATTGTCAAATTCACAAAAAAGGATTAAAACGCCATAGTGAATAGGATAATAAACAAACGCCAAGGTAAGTGTAGTTCATGATGTTTAACGCCACTATAAGAGAAGGTAAAATACTATATAGTCGGTGTATAGGAAAAGTTAGATAAGTATTTTAACGTGCAAAGTAGGTGAAGAGAAAAGGCATAAGAAAATGCTTAAAGAAGTCATATTAAGCTGATAAAAAAGAAAATGACAGAAACACCATTAAAAAAGTCCGATTGATCACAAAACTATCATATAATAGCTAGTTGATATGATCTTTGCGGGGAAAAATTGGATGCAAAGTTTATCACCTTTAGGTAACACCTAAATATTTCTCGTCTGAATCAGTTCTTTACACTTCAAACACGAAAGAAAGAAAGACAGAAAGAAAGAAAGAAAGTGTGCATTTTATTAAAATTGTACTAACTCGGCTTTTATTTACAGACATGTGGAGCCAGGGAAGGCAATTCAAGACAAATCTTTTGTAGACAACCTTTACAGGTATCCTTTTTTTATATTTGAAAAGTTTGTAATTACATTATCGTTCAAAATAAAATTCATCTCAAATATCATTAAACATAAACGTACATTCACCCAAAAACGCATTTGTTAATACATGTACATGTATATCTTTGTGTATTTTCATCTCCAGACATAGTAAAATGAAATTATACCTTTTGAAATAACATACTTTGGACACATAGAAAAATGTTCTTTGAGCCACGGTTCTTTTCATCCTAGGATAAATGAGTGTTTCAATAACATTATTTTTTATCTCAAAGCAGGAGCATGTAATAAATCCTGGTATTATTAGAATATCCATTTGTACCTTATTGTTAAACCACCCGCTAAAAGACTTTTTAAAGGGTTACAACAATTTTACGGGTTTAACTATTAACTTCCAAAGAACATCATTTTCATATAAAAATGATGCATCTTGCTCAATCCGGTGCTAAGGGGACATAGAGTAAATGGAAAGAAATAAAGAAGCTTGTATTTATTTAACATTTCTGTTAATAAACAGATTAGAATTCTTCTAGCATAAGTTGCATTTTACCGTATTTAGGCGTTGTTTAAAGGTCTCAAAGTAGACTGTATATTAAGTTAATAAACAGATAAAAATTCCCTACGAAAAAGTGCATTTTACCGAAATTTAGGCGTTTTTAAAACCCCCAAGGGTGACTGTTTTAAGGGTTCTTTTTTGAAAAACCCAAATTTTTTTCCCTTTTTAAAAAAATCGATTTTTTCATGAAACCCGCCCCAAACTTTTTTTGGGTTTGTCCAAACGGGGGCCCTCCTTGCCTGTGTTGGTGCAAAAGTTACCGTCCACGTTTTTTTAGCCCCGGCTTAAGCAGTTTAAAAACTTTAAATACGAAAAAATTTTAAAAATTTTTGGAATTTAAAAACATCCCAGAATAAAAAAAAAAATAACCCGGGTATTTTAAAAATAAAACATGTAAATTTCAAAAAATTATAAAAAAAAAGTTTCAAAGATTCAAATAAAGACTTTTAAAGAAAATGAAAACTTGTTTTTGCAACTGGGATTTTATCCACACTACATTTTTTCGAAGGGGGAAAAAAAGTTTTTTTTTTAAAAATTTTACTTATGACTCAAACATGATATTTTTCCATTATTTTGACGTAAATAACTATTGATAACAAGCACTTTTCAGGCGGCCAACGGGTTTTCCCCTTTGTTTGGCTAAAAAATTTTAAACTTGCGAAAAACCTACAAATTTCCCAAAATTAAAACAATTATAAACAGACTTTGGTTGAACCTTCTTTTTAAACACCCAAATTAGGAGGTGATTTATGAATGCAAATAACACAAAAATTAAACAATTTTTAAAAATTTATTTTTTATAGAAACAAAAAATTAAAAAATTTTTTAAAAAAAAGAATAAATATTATTTAGGGGGACACAGGAAAAATTTTTCTTTTTTTTATTTTAAAATTTTTAAATTTTTTTATACTTTTTAAAATGCAATCAAAAGGGAATATTTTTAAACAGTCAATAAAAAACAAAAACTTTTTTTCCATTTTTAAAGAATAAAATGGTGGTTTCCTAGGTCAGGTTAGAGCGCTATGATTTCGCAATATTTGAAAAAGTGAACTCTGGAAGCGTTAAAGAAGATTTCAAATGAATGACACAGACTTGTTTCAATCATACAATATCCAAAATATCTGTTGTTGTAGATTAAGGGGTTTGTTCAAGACACCTGACTTGTTTTAAAACTATTCGGTGATTCTATTGGCGTCAAAATTTGTTCAAAATATATAGATATATTTACGTTTCAAACTTAAAATATATAAAATTCAAACAGAAATTCATGCTGAAACTGCAAGAAACGTCATTTTAGCCTGATTTGAGTACATAATATCATTTTAATATTTTTGTCATTATTTTGCCTGAATATCCCTTTATGGGCCTTGAATATGGGCCTTTGAAATCCTAAATTACGCTATGCAAACATAGATTTTTGTACATTAGTCAAGTTAAGCTTACAAAAACTTTCATTTTGTATTTTGAATTGAACAGGTCAAAGCTGGAATACAACAAGAGAGTGTATGAAGTCAAGTTAAGCTTACAAAAACTTTCATTTTGTATTTTGAATTGAACAGGTCCAAGCTGGAATACAACAAGAGAGTGTATGAATCATAAGGTCAATTACCAGACATGTTTTCAACGACATATACCGAGAATGTGTAAAGATTCTACACATAAAGTCACAAAAGTATTACGACTTACAACAGACCTATTGTCGCCTGTTCTGCAGTCACGTGACAATCTCAAGGTTATTCATCTCTTCAGAGATCCACGTGCTATTATAAATTCTAGAATTCAGACCGATTGGTACCCTTCAAAAACGGACAAAATGATAATAGAAAACGCTAAATCATTGTGCAATAAAATGCTTTACGATTTTCGCGAAGGTCAAAAAGTGCAAAAATT